GGCCAGGAGCTGCCCTGGATGATCCCTGGGGGTCCCTTCCAATTCAGGAGAGTCTGTGATTAATATTACCAGTTTATCAATGTGAATAATTAACATCTTCCCTCCTAGATCCAACAGAGGATGTATGTGTCCTACTCTCACAAGAAAATCCTGACAATTACTTTCTGATGCCCTTTTATAAGATGCTAAAGTGCACATTTCTCCCAAGTTCTACTCTACTATTTCTTAAGAGCTGTACCTGTTTTATTTTGAAATCCATTCATTCAGCTGGACACAGAGTTCAGCTGGAACTGACTCAGTTGTTGATAAAACAGAGTAAGAACTGGAACTGCCCAAGCTGTTTAAGTACTATCAGGTACTATTTCATAGCTGCTGCTTCTGGCTTGTCTCACCTTCAGAGAGACAGGGAGTTCTGCTGTGCTTGCCTGATCACAGAATCCACAGGATCACGGAATGCTTTGGGTTGAAGTGGACATTAAAATCAATTTCACCCCACCCCTGCCATGGCAGGGACACCTCCCACTGTCCCAGGGTGTCCCAGTGTCCAACCTGGCCTTGGGCACTGCCAGGAATCCAGTGGCAACCACAGCTGCTCTGGCAATTCCATTCCAGAACCTCCCCACCCTCCCAGGGAGGAATTCCCAATTCCCAATCTCCCACCCATCCCTGCCCTCTGGCACTTTGTAGCCGTTCCCCCTTGTCCATCACCCCGTGCCCTTGCCCGGAGCCTTAAACCCCGTCCCGCTTTGAGACCCAGCTCCTCCTTCCCTTCTCGCCCTGTGGTTTGCGTTTAGCTCTCCTATTCCCGGTGCTTCCTTCCTCCTCTCGCGCCCATTATTCACATCCTCCCGCATTATTCACATCCTCCCGCACGGTTTATTCCGCCTCACGCCTCAGCCCGGCACGGCCGCCCGGCACCGGGGCCAGCGCGCTCTCCCCGTCCGCTCCCACCCCGACGCGCGCCGGGTGCCGCCCCACACTTTGGACCCTCCTCGCTTCCCGTCCGCCCCAGGGGAGCGACCGGCGGCGGAGCCGCAGCTTCACCCGGAGGAGGCGGTGGCGGGACGCGAGCCCTGAGGCGGCCGAGCCGCTTCCTCCTCCTCCTCCTCCTCCCTCCTCCTCCTCTTCTTCCTCCCCCCCAAGATGGCGGCGGACCCAGCGGATCAGTTCTGCGTGGCCGAGGAGCGCAGCGGTCACTGCGCCGTGGTGGACGGCAACTTTCTCTACGTGTGGGGAGGATACGTGGTAAGGCGGGCGGGGGAGCCGGCAAGGAGCGGCGGGAGCGGGCTCGGGGCGCGGGGAGCGGAGCTCCGGGCGGGGCAGGGCAGGGGGGGTCCCCCCGCCGGCCCTCAGCCCTCGGCGGGCGCCCGGGGCTGTGGCGCGGGCGCTGATTGGCTGCGGCGGCCGCGCGCCGTTCGAATGGCGGCGGGGACGGCGCTGAGGGGACGGACGGCGCTGAGGGGACGGACGGCGCTGAGGGGACGGACGGCGCTGAGGGGACGGACGGCGCTGAGGGGACGGACGGCGCTGAGGGGACGGACGGCGCTGAGGGGACGGCGCTGAGGGGACAGCGGGGCCGCTCCGATCGCCTCGTCCCGCAGCCTTTCCCTGCGCGATCAGCGCCTCCTCCTGCCCCACTCGCCCGTGTGGGGCAGGGCTGGTGGAGCCGGTTCGCTCCTTCCAAGCCGCCCTTCCTTCGCTCCTCAGCGCGTCTCCCTTCAAAGTTTGACGCTGTAATTTGCGGCTCAGTTTTTCCAGGGTGTCATTCGTGTTCTCGCTGCTGAGTCCCCGTGTTTTTTATTTTTTAGTAGTTGTGTGGTGTTTACAGCGCGTTTTCCTCCCGTAGAAAGCGCTGCTGTCACCTCAAAAACAAGCTGGTGGCAGGCTGAAACGCACCCATAATTTAATTTCTTCTTTTTTCATAAAAAGAACACTTCTGGTTCTGTCATAAATAAGTTTAACTCTATGAATACGACCCAAAAAGGAGATAAGAATGATACTACATCAAATAGGTCCACTTAGTTTTACCTGTTGTTTTTCTGTTTATATTTATCTGTTCATCTTGTCTGGTTGTGCACATTGGCCATGAAATTGCAAATACCTGTGCTTGGTGTAATTCCTGGTCTTGATCAGGTGGAAACTGTTATTTCTGTAAAGAGATTTCATATTCCATATATATTCTCTCAATATATAGAATATATATATATAGAATACTTAATATTCTATTAATAAATGTTCTATAATCTTTTATATATCTATTCTATATAAAATATTCTATATCTATTTTTCATGGTCTAAGGTAACTTTAAAGTGTTCAAAGCTTATCCTTGTGTACTCAAGCAAAGAACTCTAGTGGGAAACTCCTGGATTGAAACTCCATAATATTCTGTAGAATTAAATATCCCCATAATCACTTTAATCTTCAGTAGTTTTTAGGCTCTAGCCTTTAAAACTGTGCTCATTTGAGCTAATGAGCACAATGTTTTCAAAGGTTTTCTAATACAAAGTTGTGTATTCGTGGCACATTCAAAACAGAAAGTGTACATGAAGTTTAGCAGAGAAACTTTACAAGTGTTCTTAGTAGTTTTACATGTTTATCTGTTGAAAATATTATGAAAATTGTTGCTCTGTAAGCAGCCCTTTCCCCAGATAAATCATTTTTCACGTGTTGCTGCTGGACTCCTGCCCAGCAAACTCTATTTTTGGCGTCAGTGTGTTTGCTCAGAGCTGGTTCAGGAGCAGGTGCTCGACCTCTGACATCTGCAGATGAAATTGAGACAACTTGTGCTGCTTGCAGAGGCTGCCAGGGCCGTGCACCAGCAGAGCAGGGGTGCCTGGCACAATAAATCACCAAAAATAGGATGAACCTGCCTGCCTGGCACCTTTCACAGGGAGGAATTTGTAATCAAACATCATGTGCAGGCAAGTCATCAATATCAGTAGCTGGATTGTCACTAATTAAATTCCAGTTTTGTGTTTAACTTCCCCACATTTGTTTAATTTTGAGCCAGTTTTTATTTGTTTACTGGCTCTGGCTGCTTACTCACTGCCAGGCTTTCATTTCTTCCTGGTGCCAAGGCAGTAATTAATGCTGTAGTTCTTACTCACTGCATTTTTTTGGGCTTCCTCTACTCTTTGTTGTTTTTCCTCATCATTATTTCCCAAATTATTTATCTTTCTTAACGACCTCTGTTCAGGACTCTTCATAAAGCTTTTTTTCCACAAAAGAATTCATTTTCTCCTTTATATTTGACACCTTGGTCTTTCAAGTTACTGCTGCAAGAAACTTTTTGTGTTTCCAGTCATTTTCATATTCTATTTTCTATTTTCCACTATGCCAATGGAAATAGCTCCTGATAAAAAGTACCTAAATGAGTTTTAATTCAGGAGCTTCAAATCTGCTTGATGTTGTTACACATCTTTTCTTGGCAAAAATGTGAAGCTGTTCAATGTGTGCCTTTATTGAGAGGTCCTGAGGAGGAATGAGTTGTTTCTTTTTAACATAAATTCATTTTCTGATCAGAGCAGGAACACTGGGGTGTCACTTCTGATTTCCTTGAGATCCTTCAGTGTTGCCAAGTAACCTGGCTTGGCATTTCACGTGCAAACACACAAAGCAGAGCTGATTGAACATTTGACTGTTCTCCTTTCAGTCCATTGAAGAAAATGAAGTTTATCTGCCCAGTGATGAGCTCTGGATCTATGACATGGACAGTGGGCTGTGGTGAGTGCACCATTTCTATTGAATTATCCCCTAAAGGTGATTTCTGTCACTGATCTGCAGGGAGGAGCCTTCAGGGCCCTTGGTCATGTTAAACAGCAGCTGCTGAATGTCAGCACTGAGGGACAGCCCTGGCTGGCAGGTGAAACCAAGGAAACAAAGCCCTGCTGAAGGTTAATTAATGATGGTGTGCAAGGGACTGCTGGCTCCAGGCTCTGCCAGCACAGCTGCCTTCACCTGCCAGTTGGCTCTGGCTTGGGATTTTACATTCACTTTTATGGCAGAACACTCAGACCCTGGCTACTCCAGCTCTGATCCAGTTACAGTTACACATTTGGTATTTTTGGTGTTAATCCCATGTACACTGCAACTCAGAACTAACTCAGAACTTCCCCTTTTGCTCTTTCCTTCCACTTTCTTTTTTCCTCCCAAAAAGAACTCAGAACTTCCCCTTTTTCCTTCCACTTTGTTTATTCCTGTTTTTTTTCTCTTTCCCTCCACTTTCCTTCATTCCCCCCTTTTTTTTTTGTTTTCTTCTTCCCCCTCCTTTTTTGTTTCCTTCTTCTCTTCTCTTCTCTTCTCTTCTCTTCTCTTCTCTTCTCTTCTCTTCTCTTCTCTTCTCTTCTCTTCTCTTCTCTTCTCTTCTCTTCTCTTCTCTTCTCTTCTCTTCTCTTCCCTTCCCTTCCCTTCCCTTCCCTTCCCTTCCCTTCCCTTCCCTTCCCTTCCCTTCCCTTCCCTTCCCTTCCCTTCCCTTCCCTTCCCTTCCCTTCCCTTCCCTTCCCTCTCCTTTTCCCTCTTCTCTTCATCTTCTCTCCCCTTTTGCCCCTTTCCTCTCCTGCCCTTTCTTCCCTTTTCCTCTGTTCTCTTGCCCCATTTTTCCCCTTTCTCTCCTTGCCCCATTTTTCCCCTTTCTCTCTCTTGCCCCATTTTTCCCCTTTCTCTCTCTTGCCCCATTTTTCCCCTTTCTCTCTCTTGCCCCACTTTCCCCTTTCTCTCTCTTGTCCCATTTTTCCCCTTTCTCTCTCTTGCCCCATTTTTCCCCCTTTCTCTCTCTTGTCCCATTTTCCCCCTTTCTCTCCTTGCCCCATTTTTCCCCTTTCTCTCTCTTGCCCCATTTTTCCCCTTTCTCTCTCTTGCCCCATTTTTCCCCTTTCTCTCTCTTGCCCCATTTTTCCCCTTTCTCTCTCTTGCCCCATTTTTTCCCCTTTCTCTCTCTTGCCCCATTTTTTCCCCCATTTCTTTCCCCCTATGACCACAATTTGCTTTTTCCCTTTTTGGTTTTCCTTCCTGTGCTCCCAGGGATCAGGAACAGGATCTGGGTCAAACAGAATTTTCCAGGTTCTGTTTAACCAGGATCTCCTGGCCTGCCTGAGCTCTTCTCAGTTTCCCATTTCTGCCATCCCAGCACTGCCAGATTCTCATTTCAGCAGTTCCTGGAGTTAATAATATTTCCACATTCTGAATAATTAATATTTCAGCTCTCCTGAAGCTCTCCCAATGTGAATCTCAGCTCCAGAAAAATCAAGATACTTTAGGAAACACAATATCCACCTGGGAGTTCTCTTCCACCACAGGAGCCCAGCTTCACCTGCAGCTCCCACTCCTACTCCTGGCCCAAACTGTATTTTCACCTTTAGGTCTAAAATTTCTGAATAAATCCCTTTGGGATTGTTACATTTGGGCAGGTTGGAAAGGGTTTCATGTATTTATTTATTTTGTTTTAATTGCAGGACAATGCACCTGATGGAAGGGGAGTTACCCACCTCCATGTCAGGCAGCTGTGGGGCCAGCATCAATGGGAAGCTGTACATTTTTGGGGGATTTGATGATAAAGGATACAGCAATAGGGTATTGCAGTCTTTTTTTCCCCATAACATTGTATTTTAATAAGTACTAATACTCTTTATCTGGTGTGGTTTTATTGGAGTTAAATAGAAATTTTTATTTATTTCAACCTTCTATATTTATGCCACTGCTTTCCCAGTTGGTTTTTAAAAATACTCTGACAACCTTAATTGAGACCAATCTCTGAACATCACTTTTCTTTTTGCTCTTTGATAATAATTCACTGCTTTAAGTGATCAGGTAATAATTCAGGTTAAAATAGAGCTACCAGCTTTTCTTATGACTGAAAACTGAATTAAGAAAATAGATTACATCAGTTGTTTTATCATTGAATATAAATGAAGTCAGAGTTGACTCCTGACTAGAAAGTCAGTGAAATGGAGCCTCTGCTGAAACTTTCTGCCCATTCTCCACTTTAACTTTGTTTTTGTGGTGTATTTCCCATTTTAAACTCACTGCCACTTCCTCTTTTACCTGCAGGCTTCTGGGGGTGGTGGGTTGTCTTTTCTGGTGGTGATTTGTGGTTTTTTCTCTGAAACATTGTCATTTTTTCTTTCCTTTCAAGCTGTATTATGTCAATTTGAGAACAAAAACCGGAACCTACAGGTGGAAAAAAATCACAAATTTTAAAGGTCAACCTCCCACACCTCGGGACAAACTCTCCTGCTGGGTGTACAAAAACAGGTACAAAAATATTGAAAATGTTACAAAGATTTAATTTGTGTTCATTGCAAAGAGAAGAGGTTAAAAAGTGAAGAGAACTCAGGTTTGGGATGGAGGAAACTGATTCTTAGCTTGACCTGCTGGGGGATTTTGTAACAACTTTGTACAGGAGTTTCCTCACATGTGAGCTGAACTAATGGTGAATAAAACCCCACTTTAGGAGATTTGGGGTAAATTTGTGGAATGTTTTATACTTTAGAAAGCAATCATCCATCTATTATATGATTTTAACCCATTAAAAACAGTATAAAATTACTTTCTCTGCCATATTCATTATTTTAAGCATTAAATTTACCTGCAAAAAATCCATTTTTGTGGATTCCCAAGGATTTGAACAGTTGCAGAGGCATTTCAGGGATTATCTTTATCTTGCCAGGGCTGAGTCAGCCTGGACATTTGTGTTGGGAAAGTGCCTTAAGTGTGTTTAGAAAACAGAAATACCCCAGGTTTCCTGTTTATGATGGCAAATGTTGGGTAATGAAGCAGAAGTGATCACAAGCAGTGATTTCTTGTTAAGTGTGTTACAAACAGGTCAGAGTGTGATTTATGGTGAGCATTATCAGATGGCAATGATTTATTTCTCTCTGCACTCCACATCTAAAGAGGTTTTGCATAAGCTGTGCAATGGCCCTGGGTGCCAGATCTTGGGTTTGGAATTCTAATTTAACTGCAAGAGATAAGAAAATGCAGATATTTGAACAACTCCCTAGCTGTTAGCACAAGATTATTCAAAATTAAATGCATTTATTCAAAGCATTGTGTCACCTGCATGCTGAGAAAATCACCTGGGTTAGATGATAAAATGGAACCTTTGGATGGAAAAAAGATCCTTTATGAATGGCCCTTTCCTTGGCCTGGCAGGTGTGTGAGGATCCTTCAGTAGTGCTTGGTTGAAAATTTTTATTTGAAGCCAAAAAGAGAATTTTTGTGTCCTGTGGGACAAAGCTTGGGAACATTTCTTGCCAAAAATTGGACACAAAAGGTAAAAAATGCAGCAGGAGCACAGGAACTTCACTAGGGAAGGGCAGAGGAGGAGGCATTTCACTGTCCTGGGTTTGATTTCCCAGTTTTGCCTGAAAACAGCCCTGGAAATGAAATAAACTTTTGGGGAGAGGAGCAGAGCCTTTGAAGTGTTTGAATGATTTCCTTGTGTGGGTTTCAGTCGGGTGTGCTGAGGGCTGTGACCTTGGCCTTGTTTGGGTTTGCATCATCAGGTGCAACACAAAATATTCTCATTGTATCACTAGCATGACCCAAAATATTCCTTAGTGCAGCTTCTTGATTTTCACCCTGTTTACAAAAGAGTGAACTTTTGTTGTTCCAGGCTGGTTTATTTTGGAGGTTATGGCTGCAGGAAGCACAACGAGCTCAGTGATTGCTTCGATGTCCACGATGCATTTTGGGTGAGAGATTTGCCCCCATTCCCACTGATTTCTGATTTAAAACACAAAAAGATCCTTTGTATCATCCTTGATGAACGTGAAAATCTGATTTTTCTTTGATTTATAGCATCAGCAGAAATGCAAATGTGGAATCTGTTTAGGTTGAAATTCCAGATGCTGCACGCTGGGAGTGGTGGTTGTTCCAATATTCCATGTTCCCAGTGCTGGCCTTGGAGTGCAGTGAATTAAATGCTGTCAAAGCAGCAAAATGCTGGATTTTAATCTGAAGGCATATTTTAAAGCTGAAAATCACAGAAAATTTATTTAAATTTCATAATTAAATGTAATAATTCTTATAGTTCATTTTTTGAAGAAACATTAGGGAATTTATAACTTCCCAAGTCTGGCTGACAAATACTCTGAGTGAATTTATTGAGTTTATTTTCCAGAAAGATGCCTGGATTATCAACTTTCCTGCAGTAATTTCTTATAATTAATACAAAGATGACTGAGCAGAGCATTGACAGGAAGCTCCTGACATCAAATGTTCAAGACTGACACCCAAGAATGGTTTTTTACAATCTCTTAATTTCCCAGTGTGTTACAAGGAAATTTAGAAGGTGAAATTTGCTGCAGTGTCTGATGTTAGGGCCCAAAGCCAATTTTCAGGGGTCACAGCCTGAACATCCCTGGGTGCTGCTGACTTTCAAGTGAATCTAAGCTGCTGCAGCATTCTTAAAAAATCACCACACATTTTCATGTGTTTGGTGTATTTGGTGTATTTTAGTGTATTTTAGTGTATTTTAGTGAATCTAAGCTGCTGCAGCATTCTTAAAAAATCACCACACATTTTCATGAAATTGCCTATTTTAGTGTATTTTCTGTTTGGACAGATCCAGGTTTGTGTCCTTCAATAAGCAGCGAGATTTTAAAATAAAAGATGTATTTTTAAAAATTTCTTCTTTTTTTTTTTAGGAAGGACAGATATTCTGGGGATGGCACAATGATGTTCATGTTTTTGATACAAGCACACAGACCTGGTCTCAGCCAACAATTCGAGTGAGTGGTTTTTGATCTCCCATCCTGACACAATTGGGATTTTACTGACTTTTGAATCATTATTGTGCTCCAGAAACTGGGGACACCTCCCACTGTCCCAGGCTGCTCCAGTCCCTGTCCAGCCTGGCCTTGGGCACTGCCAGGGGCAGCCACAGCAAATCTGGGAATTCCCAATTCCCAATCTCCCACCCATCCCTGCCCTCTGGCACTGGCAGCCATTCCCTGGCTCCTGTCCCTCCATCCTTGTCCCCAGTCCCTCTCCAGCTCTCCTGGAGCCCCTTCAGGCCCTGCCAGGGGCTCTGAGCTCTCCCTGGAGCCTTCTCCAGGTGAACATTCCCAGTTTTCCCTGGAGCAGAGGGGCTCCAGCCCTCTGGAAATCTGTATCCATGTATAATTCCCATGGAAAACCTCTCACAGGAGGGCTCTGCCTTATTGAGATGAAAATATTCTCTAAAGTTCATAAAATCCAGGTGAGTTTATGTAAGTTTTTTCTAACTCAGCAGAAGTTGTATCTTTTAAAGAATGTCTGGCAGCTGTTTATGGTCTGTACAAGATGTTCTAAAATCCCTCTAAATGCAGAATGTAAAATGACCATTGCAAAGTAACAGCCAGTTTGGCCACCTTCAGTTCTGGTTTACACAGGGAGAGCATTTTGGCACGTGGATACAACAGCAAATTTAAGATGTGATTTCCAGGGGTTCCAGTAGCAGTTCTGATGATTTGTAGGTCAGGAAATCAAAGTGGCCAGGAGGTTTTGTGCTGTTCTGAAGGGTTCTTTTGGTTCTTTCAGGGTGGAGATCCACCTCAGCCTCGAGCAGCTCACACGTGTGCTGTGCTGGGAAATAAAGGTTACATCTTTGGAGGACGAGTGCTGGTAATTCAATATTTTCTTAGCTGTCATATTATTCTCTTGGCAGTTTTGTTTTTCTTTTTTCTTCTCATTTTGTAGTAAGAAAAAAAAAATCCCAAATGTTTTTGGCCTAAGCTGGATGTTCAGGGCTCTCTATTCAGCATGCTGCTTGTCATCACCCTCTCCAAAAAGAAGAATATTTTTATCTGTACTATTAATGATTGTCCCAAAAAAGGTAAAACACAGATGATTGTGTGGTAAATAACAGATTTGGGTTGGCTTTCTAATCGAATTTTGCCACTTTTTGCACATAAGTGACTGAAGTAGAGAAGTCTGGAAGAGGTCATAGACAAAAGGATGTAATCTGTGCATAAATAATTTAGGGCTGGATTGTGCCTGTGTAATTTTTACTCTTCCTGACTCTCTTTAACTGAAACAAGCCATAGGCACCACCCCCCTGATTAAAGCAGGGAGATACTCAAACCTCTCAGCAGCACTTGGAATTTCTCCAGTGCTAATTAAAGGAGATTTTCTCCTCAGTTCCTCTCTGCTGAAGCACTGATGTGAGAAACAGATCCTGTAAGGCAAGTTAAAAACCCTCCCAATTCCAGTGACTGTGCACTCTTGTGTTTTATTTTAATTGAAGTTTTTAGCTCTTTTCACTGCAGCTGATTTAGATCCTTTAATCCTACTCAGCTAGAGGATGAGCCTGGATGTTTTCTGTCTCCAAAATTGCCAGTGAAGAAGCTTCTGAGAGCCCCCAGTGCTGTGTTCCTGTAGTTGTGGTCTGAAAAAGAGAAGGAATTAGTTTGGGAATGAACATATTCCAGCTCCAGCTTGGAAAGCTGCCACAGCCTCAGCCCTGTACTCCCAAATCCTGGCAACCAAAGCAGTGTAAAACTGCACTTTGTTCCCCATTCCCTGATCTTCCTGCTGCAACATTCCTTTGGATAATCTGCACCCCTTCCCCTCCTGCTGCTCACATTGACCACACCATGGCCAGCCACTTCCCCACCCGCAGGAAGTTTTTATTCCAGAGCAAACAAAAAAAGAAAAGAATTCAAATGGCTGCTGTTTGTTCCTGCCATGATGTGAGCTTTGGTTCAGGATCTCTGGAATTGTTCCTCAAGGCTGAGAGAGCTGCACTCAGCACCTCCCAGAGCTGTAGCTTTGGTAAAGTGGCCTTGCAGATACCTGAAGGAAATCAAGAGATCTGAGGGGAGTGAAAGATCAGGGTTATGCACAGCCTGAGTGAGCCCTGTGCCCTGTCCTGTGTGCTCCCAGCTGACCACAGCCAAGTCCTGCTCCTCCCTCAGGGAGCTGAGAGGGAAAACCCCAAATGTGGGGGTGTCAAGGTCCCTTGGATGGTTTGGTGCTGCCTGGCAGTTCCTCCTGACACACAGAGCTCCCTGCCCAGGGCTCTGTGCCCACCTCTGTGCCCACCTCTGTGCCCACCTCTGTGCCCCTCTCAGCCCAGCTGGGCTCCCTCCCATGCAGCCTCTGCCCCTGCAGTTCCCATTTAGCTGCAGCTCAGCTCTCATCCCTGCACTGCCCTCTCAGGAGTTGCCCTCAGCCTTCTGGTTAACTCTGTTTGACTGCAGCATTCTGACCTTAAAAGGGTTTTTTTTTTTCCTTCAGCTTCCCTAAAATCTTGCTAAATTTCAGTGAAACCACTTGGGAAGCCGTGTCAGAGAAGAGTGAAATTGTGGAAAAAGCTGTGCTTAATTCTGTAGGAGAGCAGCAAGTGTAATTTTCATTATTGATCCATTTTCTGTCCTAGGAATAAATGGAAGGAAACATAAAAAAGGTGAGGGAGCATTCAGTGGGGGTTGAGGAATTAATGTAAGTCATGAAAAGAAAAAGCTAAAGACAGCAGAAAACCACTCAATTTCCTGACACCAGGAGTAATTCCTCCCCAAAGGATGAAGTTTTGCTTTTCTCCAGAAATTGAGGAGCAAACACGGGGTTGCTCTGCTCCTCCTTCTCCTTCTAGTTCACCATAATACAAATCTTCCCAGGGAAAAGGCTCTGCAAGGAACCAGAAAGGGCCAGGAAGTGTCATGAGGCTTCTCCTATTCATCTTTCTGGGAGGAAAGGGCACCTTTTTCCAAACTTGGAGCTAGAACTGGTAAAAGAAGATGATGATGATGATGATGGTGATGATGATGAGAATCAGTTGTACCAGGAATCATTTGAAAACAGGCTCAGAAGTGTTATGTGGACTCAGTTCCTTCAGGTAAGCCCCTGGAAAAACAGAAATGGGAGAAAGTGGGAAGGAAGGAGAGTTAGTCCAGAAGTTGATGTGAGTCTTATGTTTGATTTAAGTGGAAAAGTTTTGTGTTGAGAATGAAGTGAATAAAGCAAAGTCTTTGCAGCAGCTCTTCACACATCTGGTGCCTTCATGTAAGCATGTTTGTATTTCCTGTCAGCCAAGCTCAGAAGATCCATGGAGCTGCAATCCTTCTCTTGGCAAAGCTTGGAGCTGGAACAGCTTTTGGTTGTAAATCCAGGAGGCAGAGCTGCAGAGTTCCCTGTGCCACAGGGAGCTGGCAATAATGGCACCCTTAAAGCCTCTCTGTGCTAATCCTGAGACCAAGCAGCTCCTGCCTCACCTGCCCTGGGCTGCCAAGAAATCAACTTGCAGAGATGAGCAGAGTGTCTCAGGAGCCCTTGGAGCTCCAAGGGAAATTCCAGCCCTCTTAGGAGGCTTGGTGCTTTTATGCCAATTAAAATCATTTTAGGATTGGCAGCAGAATGATGAAATCATAGAGCAGGTCAGAGAAGCCATGAGGAGCTGCAGGAGAGCTGTGGCAAGTGATGCTCCTGTAGAGCTCTGTGTGCTTCCAGCTCCCAGAGAGGGCTGGGCCAGAGAGGTGCTTGTATTTGATAAAGGCCTCAGTCTTGGACAGTTGATGGTGTTTTGAATTCAAAATGAGGTTGCTGTAATGCTGCATCTGCCCAGCTGTTGAATCATGAGAATGCCAAGATTTTTTGATTTCCCAGGGAGCAGGAAAGAGAATTTCTCCATCTTCTGCCTAATGCCCAGGAAAGGAAAGTCAGCGAGGAGGTTCTGAACAGGATCCTCTTGAAACCTTAATTTTCACCAGAACAGCAACTCTTTGATAGATACCCTTTATATCCAATTGTATTACTCCAACAGGATTGAGTATTTCCAGTTGTAGAGGCCAGGATGTTGGGTTTGCCCCCAGAAGATCCCAAGTGCATTTTTGCTTTCTGCTTGGATGATTTGATCCCCTCCTGATTTCAAAGGAAGGAGTAGGAAACTGGAGAGAGGAGTCATGAAGACAGATCTGTTCCCCTGGCTGTCACCTGGACCACACTTGGTTGGTTTTAGGTTGTTTTTGGGCAATGCCTCCAACCCTCACAATCTGCTTGTGTTTATCCCGTGTCCCTGCCCCAAATGCTGCTCCCCATTCCCCTCCCAGCCCAGCAGGGTTAGCAGTGCTTGGCAGAGGAGGCTGTGGCATTCCTGAAATGCCTGGGAGACTTCCCAGAGCTCTGCTGGGCAGCCCTGGGGGTGCCTCAGCCTCCCTGCTGGGGCCCCAGCCCTCCTTCCAGCCTAGCTGTGCCTCAGAGGATCTGCCACGGAGAAAAATCCTCTTGCTAATAGATCTATGGACTGCCCAGGGAGAAAAGGAGTTGGAAGGTAAGGCAAGAAACATTTCCCTACTTCCCAGCTGCTTTTTGTAGTTCCCAGGGGAATCCCAGCTCCCAGGCAAGCAGAAAAATCATTTTATCAGCTTGTGCACCAGCCCCAGGCAGGCAGAGAGTTCCTCTTCTCAAACCCCAGGCAGATGAGCAAAGATTTCCCATTTGATTTGATGGCAAACGCTAAAGGGTCCTGAATAAAACCTTGCTGGTGGTCACTTTGTGAAAGGAAAAGAGGGAAAAGCACAAATGATGGACATTCCTGGGAATAGCCAGAGTACAGCACTACCAGGATACTCCAAGGAGTAGTGACAGACAGGAGGATCCAAACTTCTGATCACAAAGCCAAGGAAAATAACAGCAGGCAACAATAGGAGAGTAAAACACCTTCTGCACTGCCCTGCCAGGAGCTCTGTGGATGGAAATTAAAAACAGTGGCAGGAACTGGATAAAATCCCACAAAGTTCTTCACTTTTACAAGCTAAAATTGGCCCCATAGTGCTGTTGCATGACTGGAAATATTTCTGCCAGGCACTTTCCTGAGTGTTGCATGGTTTTTGTGAGGAGAAAAGCTTTTCTTCTGCCACATAATTCAGATTTATATTAAGGCAAGTGGGTACAGATTTCTTCAAACTATTGGTACTTGGAATATTCTGTCCCAAGAAGGCCTCACTGAAATATTTTGTTTATTGTTTGCTCAAAATAACCCGAGTGGGATTTTATTTCTTTGTTTTAGCAAACCAGAATGAATGATTTGCACTGCCTGAATTTAGACACTTGGACGTGGTCTGGAAGGTAGGTTTGCTTTTGTAACACTTCCAACTGAATTTAGGAGATGGAAACATATTGTGAAATAGTTCCAGAGCTATTCCTGCAGCTTTTCCAAGAGGAGAATGAGGGTTTGGGGAGCCCTAACAGCTGCTGGCTTGTGATTTCAATGGAATTGAATTTTGAGAGTGGTTACTGAGCTTTTCCTGCTTTGATGGTGCTGTTTAAAGCACAGCATGGAGTGATTTAACAGCCTCATTTTCAGCCTGGCTCCATTTATCCAGATGGAATTCCAGATTTTAGGGCTTTTTGAATGCTGGGTTTAATGTCTGTAGTTACAGCACAAATTGGGGAAAGGTCCCTTCCATAAAAGGCCACGAAATCCTTAAAAAATGAAGATTTTTCCAAAATTCAAGTTATTTCCATATTGTGATCCAAGAAAAGCTCATAAGATTTATCCATTATTTAGTATAGTGTGTGTATATATATATATATATATATATAGGATCACTGTGCATTTATATATTAAATATATAAACATTTATATTTATATATTGGATCACTGTAAATTTATTTTTTTAAATATATAAATATTTATATACTTATATATTGGATCACTGTAAATTTAGGAATTTTCTGTTCAGCTCTTGTAGCACCTCTGCAGAGTCTTTTAGAAACTGAAAAAAAAGACTTAAGACTAAAAAAACCCTTAAGATATTGGTGGAAAAAAAGAGTTTTCACAGGGTCTGCTGCTGTTGGCACCTCACAGGAGCTAAAATGTTTGTATTTATTCATGATCATTTATTCCTGTGATCACAGAGGGAGCCAATGATTATTTATTAATAAATAATGGTTTTATTTACTAAACATCAAGTGTTTTTCCTTACCCACCTCTGCCCAGCTTTCTTAAGGAGTTGCAGCAGATGAACCTGCTAACCCAGGATTAGCATCCAGCAGAGATTGCAAAACCCATTTCAGCTGCCACTGCCCAGAAGTTGCTTTCCCTGCCTTGAGCTCTGCTGAACTCATTCAATATTTGGTTATTTCTGGTACTGAGCTCTTTCCTTGTGCATGAAAATTGAAATGTTATCAATTATCAGGATCTGTGTGATATTTCTTTAACCATCAAAGGCCAGGCTGCCCCTTGGCCAATTTTAGAAGCTTCTTTTCTTCACTTGGATTCAAACAAATGTTGCAGCTTGGCCTTGAGTGCCAAATTGAGCAGGGCACTCTGCAATCCCTGTTTCATTCTCTCTGATAACTGGGTTTGGGAGATCAGGATCTTTACTCTTCACATGCTCAAGCAAACCCAACTACAATAAAATCCATTTCAATACAGCTCAGCTGAAATAGATTTCCAATGAGATTTTTTCAATAATAAATTTCCATCTGTTCTGTACTTAAGAATTCCCCTCTTTACTAATATTTATTCCAAAGTCTGGGTGAGCCCCAGCTTGAAGAGGTGGTAGCTTTTGGATCAGAGGTAAAACTACAATCCTTGTGTCATTTCAAATGATTTTCCTTGGAGTGGAGAGCCTGGAGCCCCTCAGGATTCATCAATTTGATCCCAATTCACCATTTCCCTACGTGTACATGGAATTTATTTGGGTATTTAATCTCTTTTTTCCCTGGGAAAACACCCAAGGTGGTTCTAGGACAACCTGAACTTTTCTGCCAAATTCATTTAAATGAAACAATTCAACAATTTCAGCATTGTTTGAAGATTTGGGGGTTTTGTTTCTTTGTTTCCCCCAGGATTAATATCAGTGGAGAGAAGCCCAGAGATCGCTCCTGGCACACGCTCACCCCCATAGGGGAGGACAGACTTTTCCTTTTTGGAGGACTAAGCTCTGATAATGTTCCTTTGAGTGAGTAATTAAAAGTAAAAATGTAATTCTAATTTGTAATTCTGATTCTCTTGTGCATTTCAGGTCACACAAACAGGGGCTGGGGTGGCTGACAGGAGTTGCTTTTGTAGAAAAGGCAACTTGTTTCCATGAAAAAACCTGAACTTGGCAAAAATAATTTGAAGATAAATAATAATTTCACAGACAAATCTCCTGGGAGGAGATGATTTGCTCAGTTTACCCAAAAGAAAGGGACTGGGGGTGTTTTAACTCCAGATTCCAGTGCAGGGAGGGTTCTGGGACAACATTAAATCACAAAGAGTGAAAAGATGCAGCTTCATGGAGTGCTGATGTTTCTGCTACCTCATAAACGTGCTCTTGTGTGAACACAAAGCTAACTTTGTATCCCAAAAGCCCCACCAAAAGGCTCTATAATAATAATTATTATAATAATAATAATTCTGCCATTGCAGGTGATGGTTGGATCCACAGCATTGCAACAAATGGATGGAAGCAGCTCACCCACCTGCCCAAGAGCAGGCCCAGGTACACAAACTGAAATCCTGAAATGCAATCCTTCCTCAAAATGAACCAGTTTAAAGTCTTGAACAGTACTTTTACAGAATATTTTAGAATATTCATGCAGTGTGGTTGAATAGTTTGCTTCAACACCTTTTTTTGCTTTTATACCTCATTTTAATTTCTGTATTTGATGCTTATTTTCTTATTTTGTGGTGAAGGATCTGGGTGTCCAGCTGACCTGGGACTCTGTAGCCAAATTATTGTTCTATAAAAAAATAGAAAAATTGGAGGAATAAATAACCAAGGAGAATGATAAAAGCTCATTAATATCTATAAATTATTAGAAACAGGGGAGACCATGAAAAACTTGATTCCTCTTTCAGGGTTCAAAAACAAAATTGAGTGTTAACCCAGTGTTTGAAGCATTATCTCTGTTTCTAAATTAAAAACTATTGAACTGATTTGCTGAAGATAATAAATATTCAGATTTTCATTGAATTCATTCCCTGCATTCACCCAGGAACTCCCAGCACAATTTTATATCATAATATCTATCACAATGGGCTTTTTTATTACAATATTTATATTATAATAGATCACAACCATGGATTTTTCCCAGGAAACCATGGATATTTTCCAGGAAACCATGGATATTTCCAGGAAACCATGGATTTTCCCAGGAAACCATGGATTTTTCCAAGAAACCATGGATTTTTTCCAGGAAACCATGGATTTTTTCCAGGAAACCATGGATTTTCCCAGGAAACCATGGATTTTCCCAGGAAACCATGGATTTTTCCAAGAAACCATGGATTTTTTCCAGGAAACCATGGATTTTCCCAGGAAACCATGGATATTTCCAGGAAACCATGGATTTTTTCCAGGAAACTATGGATATTTTCCAGGAAACCATGGATATTTCCAGGAAACCATGGATATTTTCCAGGAAACCATGGATTTTTCCCAGGAAACCATGGATTTTTTCCAGGAAACCATGGATATTTCCAGGAAACCATGGATTTTTCCCAGGAAACCATGGATTTTCCCAGGAAACCATGGATATTTTCCAGGAAACCATGGATATTTTCCCAAAACCATGGATATTTTCCAGGAAACCATGGATTTTTTCCAGGAAACCATGGATATTTCCCAGGAAACCATGGATATTTCCCAGGAAACCATGGATTTTTTTCCAGGAAACCATGGATTTTCCCGGGAAACCATGGATTTTTTCCAGGAAACCATGGATATTTCCAGGAAACCATGGATTTTTCCAGGAAACCATGGATATTTTCCAGGAAACCATGGATATTTTCCAGGAAACCATGGATTTTTTCCAGGAAACCATGGATTTTTTCCAGGAAACCATGGATTTTTTCCAGGAAACCATGGATTTTCCCAGGAAACCATGGATTTTTCCCAGGAAACCATGGATTTTCCCAGGAAACCATGGATTTTCCCAGGAAACCATGGATTTTCCCAGGAAACCATGGATTTTTCCCAGGAAACATTGATATTTTCCAGGAAACCATGGATTTTCCCAGAAAACCATGGATATTTTCCAGGAAACCATGGATTTTCCCAGAAAACCATGGATTTTTTCCAGGAAACCATGGATTTTCCCAGAAAACCATGGATTTTCCCAGGAAACCATGGATATTTCCAGGAAACCATGGATTTTCCCAGAAAACCATGGATTTTCCCAGGAAACCATGGATTTTCCCAGGAAACCATGGATATTTTCCAGGAAACCATGGGTTTTCCCAGGAAACCATGGATTTTTTCCAGGAAACCATGGATTTTTTCCAGGAAACCATGGATATTTTCCAGGAAACCATGGATTTTCCCAGGAAACCATGGATTTTTTCCAGGAAACCATGGATATTTCCAGGAAACCATGGATTTTCCCAGGAAACCATGGATTTTTTCCAGGAAACCATGGATATTTCCAGGAAACCATGGATTTTCCCAGGAAACCATGGATATTTCCAGGAAACCATGGATTTTCCCAGGAAACCATGGATTTTTTCCAGGAAACCATGGATTTTCCCAGGAAACCATGGATATTTCCAGGAAACCATGGATTTTCCCAGGAAACCATGGATTTTCCCAGAAGTCCCAGAATTGTTAGGGTTGGAAGGGACCTCTGGAGATGCCCCAGGGCAGGGCCACCTGCAGCAGGTGACACTGGGATGTGTGGGTAAAAGGAGCCTCACCAAAAGCCTGTCCATACACTGGACTGTTTAAGTGTCAAGGATTTGTACCATAATTCTATTTTCTGCAGCAGGAAAAGCTTTAAATCAGTCCAGCTGCTCTTCAAATGCAGAGCAGTAACACATCAATATATCTGTGTGTACTTCTGTTATTCCTTTCTCTTGCTTTGTAATGAAATTTATTGGTGTCTTTTCCTGATGCTTCTGCAGCTCTGATTCCCTCCCTAAATTCTGTAGAGAATAATTTCCTGCAACCTTCACTTTTAGCAGTTTTTTAAAAATCACCTTCTCAGGTGATCCTGAATTGGTAGAAAATGCTATTCCTCTCTCTATCCATCAATTTTAGTTTTGCATGCTGGGTTGAAATAAAGAACAAATTTTAACCCCTGGGTTCCCAATGTTTTCATACCCAAAATTGGTAGAAAATATTGTTCCTTTTTCCTTTTTTGAATACAGTTCTATTCAGCCAACGTTTTGCATGCTGGGTTGAAATAAAATACAAATTTTAACTCCTGGATTCCCAATTGGTATTCATTCCCAAAATTGGTAGAAAATCCTGTTTCTCCCTCTATCAATTTCAGTTTTGCATGCTGGGTTGAATAGAGCCCAAAGTGTTTAACCCCTGGATTCCCAATGTTCTCATTCCCATAACTGTAGAAAATCCTGTTCCTTTTCCTGTCCATTAGTTTTATTCAGCCAATGTTTTGCATGCTGGGTTGAAATAAAATACAAATTTTTAACTCCTGGATTCCCCATATTTTCATACCCAAAATTGGTAGAAAATCCTGTTCCTCCCTCTATCAATTTCAGTTTTGCATGCTGGGTTGAATAGAGCCCAGAGTGTTTAACCTCTGGATTCCCAATGTTTTCATTCCCATAACTGTAGAAAATCCTGTTCCTTTTCCTGTCCATTAGTTTTATTCAGCCAACGTTTTGCATGCTGGGTTGAAATAAAATACAATTTTTTAACTCCTGGATTCCCCATATTTTCATACCCAAAATTGGTAGAAAATCCTGTTCCTCCCTCTATCAATTTTAGTTTTGCATGCTGGGTTGAATTCCTGGATTCCCCATATTTTCATTCCCATAACTGTAGAAAATCCTGTTCCTCCCTCTGTCCATGAATTTTAGTTTTGCATGCTGGGTTGAAATAAAATACAAATTTTAAGCCCTGGATTCCCAAAGTTTTCTTTGCCATGATTGGTAGAAAATCCTGTTCCTCTCTCTGTCCATCACTTTCAGTTGTGCATGCTGGGTTGAACAGAGCCCCAAGTGTTTAACCCCTGGGTTCCCCATGTTCTCATTCCCAAAATTGCAGAAAATCCTGTTTCTCCCTCTATCAATTTTAGTTTTGCATGCTGGGTTGAATAGAGCCCAAAGTGTTTAACCTCTGGATTCCCAATGTTTTCATTCCCAAAATTGGTAGAAAATCCTGTTTCTCCCTCTATCACTTTCAGTTGTGCATGCTGGGTTGAACAGAGCCCCAAGTGTGTAACCCCTGGGTTCCCCATGTTCTCATTCCTATAACTGTAGAAAATCCTGTTCCTCCCTCTGTCCATGAATTTTAGTTGTGCATGCTGGGTTGAACAGAGCCCCAAGTGTGTAACCCCTGGGTTCCCAATGTTCTCATTCCCAAAATTGCAGAAAATCCTGTTCCTCCCTCTGTCCATGAATTTCAGTTGTGCATGCTGGGTTGAGCAGAGCCCCAAGTGTGTAACCCCTGGGTTCCCCATGTTCTCATTCCTATAACTGTAGAAAATCCTGTTCCTCCCTCTGTCCATCACCTTTAGTTGTGCATGCTGGGTTGAGCAGAGCCCCACGTGTGTAACCCCTGGGTTCCCCATGTTCCCCTTGCCATGTGATGCTGTTGCTGTGCTGGAAGAGCCCTGTGTGATTGAATAACATGCTTTGTTAGAATGTTTAGGTGATAAGTTAGAGCAGCCCATGGGAGGCCAGGAGCTCTCAGGCAGTAGGAAAAGCCTCAGGTTTCAAGCTAGGATGTCAGCAGAGCCCAGGCAGGAAAGGCTTCCCCGTGTTCTCCGTGACCAAGCCCAGATTTCCCTAATGCAGAGCAGGCAGAGACAGATCTGGCACAGGTATGAGGAAGGGAAAAGGTGAGGAACCTGCTAAGGACTGATGAGACAAAGTGGGAACGTTGATTTTTGCATGAAACTTCAGTGGTGTGTTTGATTTTGCTTCAGTGGCTCTAAAGTCCATCAGCAGTGGTGACAGAGCAGAAAAATCTAATCCTGAAAAATCAAATCCCCACCCAGGGGTGGCTGCTGAAGGGGCAGGATCTTTCTGAAAGTTATAAAGTCAGGATTTGGTTCTGTGGGGTCTTCATGATAAAACTTCCTTGGTGTGCTGGAAGTTACTGACAGAGAGTGATCCCAGGAATCTCTGGGGAAGGGTAAGACTGGAACAGGAGAACTGGAGATCCAAGTGGCAGCACTGAGAACCCCCCAGGCTGAAAGCCATGAGCAAATTGTACTTCTGAAGCAAAGAAAGTAGAAAATTGCAAAAGGAAAAGCTTGGCAAAAGCTTGATTTGTAGAGCTGCCAAAAAAATTTTCCACTGTGGTGATAAATAAGACAAAGTTGATATGCCCAGAATACAGAAAAGTCAAATAATGCCAAAATATATTGGTCTGTATGAAAATAACTCTCATGAGCTGGGGAGTTACATTGCTCTCTTATTTTATATTATTGAACAAACAAGTGATAAATTTCAAGGTGTTATTTTTTACCTCTGAAATGGTGGTTTTGTCTTGCTGCTTGGGCACTCACTGTGTCTGTGTTTGGTTTGCAGGTTGTGGCACACAGCCTGCCTTGGGCAGGAGGGAGAGGTGATGGTGTTTGGGGGCAGCAAAGATGATCTGCTTTTCATGGACACGGTCAGTAAACTGAGAACCAAATCTCATCCCTGGCATAATTATAATTAATATCAAATGATGGGGTGGTTGCAGCTGGGAGGGGCCCTAAAGCCCATTTAATCCACCCCTGCCTGGGCAGGGACACCTCCCAATATCCCAGGTTGTTCCAAGCATCATCCAGCCTGGCCTTGGACACTGCCACAGATGGGGAGTCTAAAACCTCTGGGCAAATAAATAAATAAATTAATAATATATTAATACATATATTCATTGAAGAAAATTAATTGAACTTGGAAGAAAAAGCTGCAACATCACCTGGTCTCTATAGGAAAACTTCAGTGTATAAATATATTAATTGATTGACTTAAATTTTTCAATTAAAATTCAGTTTAAAACCAAATCAGATAGAATTTGGCTCAAACAATTTGCTCCAATTGGTAACTGAAACCATTACAAATTACACACCACTGAGGAAATCATTATAATTTACACAGCCCAGATTATAAATTAATTATAGTTTACACACTACTGAGGAATCCCCACCTGAGGCTTTCTTGACTGACAGAATAAAAAGGAATTTGTAATTCAGGTTCCTTATAAATGCTCAAGGAGAGTGTTTCTGAATCATGCACGTGGCAGTAAATGTGACATGAATGTGGAGGATTGCTGAGGGGGGGAAGTTGTTTGCCATTCTCATGGCTCTTTTCTTCTCTTGCTCAGGGTCACTGCAGTGACTTGTTGATATTTCAGACTCAGCCTTACTCCCTGCTCAGGTGAGTTGGAGTTACAGAAGCCAGGAGGGTTTGGGCTGGGCTGAAATCCCATCCTGTGCCATGGGCAGGGCGCCTCCCCCTAGCCCAGGTGTTGTTTCAGCACCTGCTCCTGCAGAAATGGGGTGAAATTCCCAATTTCCTCCTCAGGAAATCCCTGAACCCTTCAGTGTGTGGTGCTGCACAGCACTTGGGTCTCTGGTGCTGTGTAATTCCTGCACCTGTAATTACCACCTGTAATTCACGCACATCAGCTTTTGCTAGGTGTCATTTGTTAGAATACAAACCATTTACTTACATTTTTTAAATGTTTTTCCTATTTCCCTTCCTCAGGCTGTGTCTTGACTGCATTGGGAAGAACGCAGCTCTCTTGGAGAAGCAAATTCCCTGTTTGCCACCCAAACTTGTGCAGGAAGTGCTGAAAAAAATCACCTTTTGGGCTGCCATGACCCACAGGCAGGAGAGGAAGGCTGAGACTGAGAGACAAAGCCAGCTGCACTGCACATGAGGCAGGCCAGGGACACCTCCCAGGCTCTGTCCAGAGCTTGGAGCTCTGCTGCATTTCTGAGGGAAGTTTGACAACAAATCCTTTTTTTAGGAATCTCTCCTTTCCTGCGTTATGGAGAACTGATCCAACTTCATTTCTAGATAATTGTTCACCTCTGCTCTCGTGGTTTTGGCCACACAGCCCTGCCAACCTTTTGTTCTTTTGGAAGGATCCATTTCAGCTGGATAAAATATGGTTTAAAAACCCTCCTTGGCCTTACCTCCATCAGTCTTCCCAAAAGGATAAATTCACCTCGGTGTCTTGGGGACATTCACACTTTGTCAGTCTCAAAGGTAACAAATTTACCACCCCCAAATGTTGCTTCTACCAGGCTCTGACCAAAATCCAACCCTGGAGCCTCACACCTCACTCTCCAAGTGGGAAAATCCACCTGGGAATTGTGGAACTTGGCAGAAGAAGCTGCAACATCACCTGGTCTCTATAGGAAAACTTCAGTTCATCACCTGGTTTGACTGGTTCTGTCATCAGGAAATCCTTTTGGAAATAAGTTGTATATTGTATTTTGGATGTGCAAAGTTTATATTTCATTCTTGTTAAAAAAAAAACCAACAACAACAACAAAGTTGCTTATTTATTGTTTAAAAAAAAAAAGCAAATGTAGTACTGATTATTTTTCTGTTTCAAATATTTACTTAACAGGAGCACAGTCATTAAAATTTTATAGAGAGTTGAAGCAAGAGGCATTTGGACACATTTCTGATGGTTTTAAAGTCTGTAAAAATTAATTATTTGGGGAAAAGAGCTTTGTGGGGAGCAAATTTGTTTCAAGAAGGAAGTTTGGGGATGTGTTATTTTAACAGCCTCATTTTATGTGCTGAACTCCCTCCTTTTTGGGAGGGGGAGTTCAGATGCCCCCTGAGCCCCAAGGTTGGGATTCTGGGGAGCTCAGGTGCCCCCCAAGGTCTGATTTTGGAGGTTTGGGATTGGCTTGCTGGATTCAGATACCTCAGAGTTAATTTGCAGGGGCTCAGGTGCCCCCAGGGTTCATTTTGTTGGCTTCAAGTGCTCCCAGGGTTAATTCTGGGAGGGCTGAGGTGCCCCCCATGGTTAATCTGGGGCTTTCAGATGCCCCCTGTGGGAATTTTGTTGGGTTCAGGTGCCCCCATTGGGAATTTACAAGGTTCAAGTGCCCCTCAGGTTAATTTTGGGGTGGTTCTGATGCCCCAAGGTAAATTTTTGGGATTGTTCAGGTGCCCTCATGGTTGGTTTTGCTCCCAGTGATGATTTTGGGAGGTTCAGATGTCTCCAGTGTAAATTGGGGATGGTTTGGGATGTTAATTTTGGGGTTAGTCAGGTGCCCCCGATGTTAATGTGGGATAGTTCAGGAACCTCCAGTGTTAATTTTGGAATGCCCGTGTGCCCCTAGGGTCAATTCTGGGGTTGTTCAGGTGCCCTCAGGGTGATTTTGTGGTGGTTCAGGTACCCCCTGGGTGAATTTTTGGGTGCCTGGTGCCCCCAGAATAATTTTTGGGGTGGTTCAGGTGCCCTCAGGGTGAATTCTGGGGTATTTCAGATGCTCCCTGTGCTAATTTCGGGGCAGTTCAAATGCTCTCAATGTTAATTTTGGGGCAGTTTGGGTGTCCCAAGGTGAATTTCAGAGTGCCTGAGTGCCCCAGTGTTAATTTTGGGGCGGTTCAGAAGCTCCAAGGGTTAATTTTGGGGTGCCCTCAGGGTGAATTCTGGGGTATTTCAGATGCTCCCAGTGTTAATTTTGGGGCGGTTCGGGTGCCCTCAGGGTGAATTTCAGCGTGCCTGGGTGCTCCAGTGTTGATTTTGGTGCGGTTCAGACGCTCCCAGTGCTAATTCTGGGGTGCCCGGTGCCCTCAGGGTGAATTTGGGGTGGTTCAGGTGCTCCCAGTGTTATTTTTGGTGTGGTTCAGGTGCTCCCAGTGTTAATTTGGGGGCAGTTCAGGCACTCGCAGCGTTAACCCTGGGGTGCCCGGTGCCCTCAGGGTGAATTCTGGGGCACCTCAGGCACTCACAGTGTTAATTCCAGGGTGCCCCGTGCCCTCAGGGTGAATTCTGGGGTATTTCAGATGCTCTCAGGGTGAGCTGTGGGGCACCTCAGGCACTCACAGTGTTAATCCTGGGGTGCTCGGTGCCCCCGGGCTGAGTTCGGGGGTATTTAGGGTGAATTTGGGGGCACTTCAGGCACTCACAGTGTTAATTCCGGGGTACCCAGTGCCCTCAGGATGAATTCTGGGGTATTTCAGATTCTCTCAGGGTGAATTTGGGGGTAGTTCAGATACTCGCAGTGTTAATTTTGGGCCGGTTCGGGTGCCCTCAGGGTGAATTTCAGCGTGCCCAGGTGCTCCAGTGTTAATTTTGAGGCAGTTCAGACGCTGCCAGGGTTAATTCTGGGGTGCCGGTGCTTTGAGGGTGAACTGTGGGGCACCTCAGATGCTCGCAGTGTTAATTCCAGGGTGCCCCGTGCCCTCAGGGTGAATTCTGGGGTATTTCAGATGCTCTCAGGGTGAATTGTGGGGCAGTTCAGACGCTCGCAGTGTTAATCCCGGGGTGCCCGGTGCCCCGGTCTGGGTTCGGGGGTATTTAGGGTGAATTGTGGGGCACCTCAGACGCTCGCAGTGTTAATCCCGGGGTGCCCGGCGCCCCGGGCTGGGTTCGGGGGTATTTAGGGTGAATTTAGGGGCAGTTCAGACGCTCGCAGTGTTAATCCCGGGGTGCCCGGAGCCCCGGGCTGAGTTCGAGGGTATTTAGGGTGAATTGTGGGGCACCTCAGACACTCGCAGCATTAATCCCGGGGTGCCCGGTGCCCCGGGCTGGGTTCGGGGGTATTTAGGGTGAATTTGGGGGCAGTTCAGACGCTCGCAGTGTTAATCCCGGGGTGCCCGGTGCCCCGGTTGGGTTCGGGGTGCCGGAGCCTGCGCGCTGCCGCCGGAAGGTGCCGCCCGCCCGGCGGATGTTGCGCCGGGGCCGCGGCTGAGGGAGGGAGGGAGGCAGGGCCGGCGGAGCGGCAGCGGCGGGGCCGCGGTAGGAGCGGGACGGGCCCGGGGCCGCGGGGGGCTCGGGGGGCTCTGAGGGGACGCGGGGCGGGCTCGGGCCGGGCCGGTAACGGCGGCGGGCGGCGCTCGGACGGCCGCGATGTCGCGACAGTTGAGCGTGTCGTGAGGAGCCCGCCGGGCCCACCCTGCGCTCAGGCATGTCGCGACACGAGAAGGTGTCGTGAGGAGCCCCTGGCTGCTGTGTGTGAGGGGGGTGGGCAGAGCCGCAGGGCTGCGGGGAGCTGAGGGGGAAATGGCTGAAGGGACGCGGCCCAGCGTGTCTGAGGGGCAAAATGAATAGCAGAATATTGTACATACCTATTATAGATAAATATTATATCGGTGTTATTTCTCCGAGGCGGTGAAGACACCGCTAGCTCGAAGCAGGCAGGTTTCACGGGGCTGTGGGCAAGGCTTGCTAATCTAAATTAGAAATCGTAATTAAAGCTCACAGATAACCCCCCGGAGGTGGTGCAGCGTCTCCGTGGCGGGAGTGGCTAAAATTAAACAGCAAAAACCCCTCAGGAGCGGTGTATGGGAACAGCAGGGTATCAAACCTGGAGTGCCCGGTGTGATTATCCCACTGAGGTCCTTTTCCCTGGATTTGGATGCACAAATTTGGGCTGTTTGGCTTCCCCGGGCTTTGGATCTGTGTTTTCCCAGCAGTGTCTGGGGTTTGGAGCAGGGATTTTGGAGCTCTGTGGGATTTTGTGTAGGACGGGTGACATTGTCCTGCACTGAGCCGCCGTGGGAAGACACTGAAAAGCTCCAGGATTTGCTGCTATTGTGGGCAAAGCTGTCAAATTTATTCCCCTTTGGATTGGTTTTTTTGACATCATGGAATTTTCTGACATGGTGTGGGTTGGAAGGGACCTTAATGCTCATCTTGTCCATGGGCAGGGACACCTTCCACTATCCCAGGCTGCTCCAAGCTGGCCTTGGACACTTCCAGGGATCCAGGGGCAGCCACAGCTGCTCTGGGCAAATCAATCTTGTCTTATAGATAAGATTTTAAATATTTTTAAAAACGGTCACTTTGAGTCACACTGGCAGCTGTAACCATTACAAACCGTGCACCATTGAGTCCCTACGTGGAACATTTCTGATTCCAGCCGTGTGTAGCCCATCCTGGCTTTTCCAAGCCCCACGCTGTGCCAGGGGAGGGTCAGGATCTCCGGGAAAGCTCCCACTATTCCAGAGGGTGCTGGCACTGCCCAGGCTCCCCGGGGAGCGGGCACAGCCCCGAGGCTGCCAGAGCTGCAGGAGCCTTTGGGATGCTCAGGGTGGGATTGCTGGGGGTCTGTGCCGGGCCCTGGCCGACCCCGCGGAGGGAATTCGGTGTCGCTGTGCCTGCAGCACGTCCCGACATGGCCGATGAGAACGAGGAGCTGCCGGCGGACGAGGAGCTGCCGGCGCCGGCCGAGGAGGGCTTCGAGCAGCTGGAGAACGACAGCCCCGCCGAGCGCAGCGGACACGTGGCCGTCACCGACGGGCGCTGCATGTACGTCTGGGGAGGATACAAGGTACAGCTGCCCCAGCCCGGGAACCCTGTCCCGTCCGTCCACCCGGGCCGCGCTCTGGGCAATTATTCCTCCCCCGGAACGCAGCAGCAGCTCCAGCGAGCGAATTTGTAACACGCGGCCCTCGGGGGTGTTTTGCAACGCCGGGATAAATCACTGGGTGTTAAAAGCTTGGCAGATAACACGGATTTTTGGGGTGTCGTTTGCCTTTGGCGAAAGGTGAAGGGAGTATTGTCTGATTGGAGTTGTGCACCCTGGGAGTGGTGATTTTATTTGCACAACTGTATTTTTGGGTGGTAATTTGTAATTACGTTTTGTAATTGTAATTTGTACTTTTGGGTGGTAATAATTTTTTGGGGCGGTAAGGATGCCATGTTTGTTGTTGTCACACTGTGTGCTGCAGCACCACAAAATCATTTCAGTGACAAAATGAACTCAGTAAATAAACTCCTGTCTTGGAGGGGGTGGGGGAGGGAAAAAGGAGCTCTTGGCTCATTTCTGCTGCCTGGCTCAGGCTGTAAACCAGAGGTTTAACCTCCATTTAGCCCTGTGTGGCTCTGTGGGAGCTGACTGTCCCCAGCAGGTGCTGAAGCAGGCTGATTGCTGCTCTCCATGCAGGTGGGAGGCACAGGAGTGTGGGAAGTACAGGCACTGCTCCTGCTGTGATCTGTGCTGGGATTCTGTCCCAGAGGGGGTGCAAACCTTCCCAGGAGTCTGAAATTCCCTGTGTCAAACACCCTTCTCACCCTGCCTTTCCTTCTGCAGAATGCCCAGGTCCGGGGGTTTTATGACTTCTACCTGCCTAGGGATGAAATATGGATCTACAACATGGAAACTGGAAGATGGTACAGTAAATCATTCATTTGGGGAAAAAATCTGATAAATCCTTGAATTGGTATGGAAAGGGCCTGAGCAGGGACAGAATTCCCTGATCTCTTTGTTCCCAGCTATCAAACTCTTGCAGAAGTGGGTCAAATATTTCAGGTTTGGGGTTTTTTTTTTCCTGTGAAAGCATCCCAAATGTTTTCCCAGGATGGAGTAGGAGAGGCAGCTGAGGCAGGCAGCCTGGAGAGGAGTGTGGGCTGTTTTGGGATTCCTGGGACAGGACAGAGCAGCTGGAATTTGTGTTTTTACCATTTTGGATGCCCGTGCTGGTCAGGGAGTCCCTGTTGAGTTCAGGAGTTGTTCTCCAGGGCTGATGCAGCCAAAGGAGCTGCTCAGTGCTGTGCAGGAAATGGGATTTCAGGTGTGCCCCAGCCCTCCCTGGGGTCAGGGACAGCCTGGGGCACGGGCTGGAATCTCCTCTCTGTGGTTATGGTGTTTGCAGACAGGAAAAATCCAGGAGCAGAGTGGAAACCTGCAGTTTACACAGGTGAATCCTCTCTGCCTGAGGATTCTGAGCATTCCAAACCCCTGAGCTGGGCAGATGGGATTCCTAACCCCCAAAAAACCCATGTATTAACTGAAGTGCCTTTTCCTCACCCCTCCATCATAACAGAGAATAATTTTGTGAATTATTACATCTGAAAAGGTGGGAAGGACAGGCTTGAATATCCACAGTGAGCTGTGGTAAGCAGAACCCTCCAGATGAGGCCATCCCTGCTGGCTGGGAGCAGGTGAAGATGCCAGCCTGGTTTTGCAGGAAGAAGAGCAAGACTGAGGGAGACGTTCCCCCCTCCATGTCTGGCAGCTGTGCCGTGTGTGTGGACAGAGTCCTGTACCTCTTCGGGGGGCACCACGCCCGCGGCAACACCAACAAGGTCAGCAGTGCCTTTCTAGTGGAATAACACACAACAGAATCATCATCATCATCATCATCAAATAGAATCCCTTCCCATGGGCTTGTGCCCTGGAGGCTTCCCAGCACTGCAGGAACAGCCCGAGCTGGCACCAGCTGTGTCCTTGTGCAATTCCCCTCAGCAGCTGGATTGGGTCCCTGCCTTTGAGTTTGCTGATTTTAAAAGATGGGAGTTGCCAGAGTTGCCTGGATAATATCAGGAGCTGATCTGGAATTGATCTGGGGTGGCTGGAAGTGTTTCTGTTCCCTCGAGTCTGTGGTAATCCCAGAATCCCAAAATCATTTAGGTTGGAAAAGTCCTCCAAGATCACTGCCCCATCCCCACCCCTTCAACTAGAACTAATTAATGATCTTTTCTGATAGTCTGGCAATGGGGTTTATATTAAATAGTTTTGGTCTATATAAATATGTCGTTTATGTATTTGAATAGAAGATCATCAATTTCTGATGTAAATATCAACTAGGAGGAGTTGGAAGGAGTTTTTGCAGACAATTTGAAACAAACCTCATTTGTAAGGTGGGATTTCTTCCCCTCCTGCTGTGGCATTCTTACATTTCAGTTTTGGGTGTAAGTGCAGCAGCAGGTTCTCTTCCTGTACAATTACATAAATGCAGAGAAGGGGTAATCCTGTAAAAAAGTCACTTTGCAAACTCCTGAACAATTTTTTAGTTGTAAGACAGTTGTGCTCTGTACACACCTTCAGTGTATCCCACAGCAGCTGTAAAAGGTGCTGTAAAAGGTGTTTGAGTCTGAAAAAGGTCAGGACTTTTTGATTTGTGAATCCATCTTTTGTTACAAAATATTTCCAGTGCTCTTCTTTTCAGCTAGGAAAAGAACTTTTCATTTATTACTATTTCTATACCAACACATGTTCATTTAAAGTTGCTATTTTAACAGCAGCTTTAAGCTCGAAGCTGATGATGTGAGTTCAAAAAAACCTCTTTATTTTCCCAGTTCTACATGTTAAATGCCAGATCCACGGACAAAGTGCTGCAGTGGGTGAGAGTGGAGTGCCAGGGGGTGCCCCCCTCGTCCAAGGACAAGCTGGGGGTGTGGGTGCACAAGAACAGGTGAGGCCCCAGCGAGGCTCTGCTCCCTCTTGGCTTCTCCCTCCTCTTCCTCCTCCTCCCTCACCTTGGGGCTGGCTGGGAATGTTCCCCTGGAGAGGAGAAGGCTCCAGGCAGAGCTCAGAGCCCCTAGCAGGGCCTGAAGGGGCTCCAGGAGAGCTGGAGAGGGACTGGGGACAAGGCATGGAGGGACAGGAGCCAGGGAATGGCTGCCAGTGCCAGAGGGCAGGGATGGGTGGGAGATTGGGAATTGGGAATTCCTGGCTGGGCTGGGATTGCCAGAGCAGCTGTGGCTGCCCCTGGATCCCTGGCAGTGCCCAAGGCCAGGCTGGACACTGGGACACCCTGGGACAGTGGGAGGTGTCCCTGCCATGGCAGGGGTGGCTCTGGGTGGGATTTAGGGTCCCTTCCACCCAAACCATTCTGGGGTTTTGGAGTTTAACTCTTGTGCTGCCCTGGCCACTCCATGGAGGAGCTCCCAGCTCTCTCTGTGATTTGCTGGGGATTTGCTGCAGGGACTCAGGGAATGTGGGAGCCCCTGAGTGTCCCTGCAGCTGGGGCTGCTCCCTGGTTCTGTGGCCTTGCCCTCAGTGCTGCCTTTTCAGCTCCTTGGTGTGGGGAGTGAGCTCCTCATCAGCACAGCCGGCAGCATCAGCTCAGCTGGGAATCTGTGAATCTGCAGGGCTGCACCTGTGGGTGGCTCATGAGGTGCTGCACGTTGGTGTTGGCACTCCATAATCCTGTAGGAATTTCTGGCAAAGCCCTGCCAGTTCCTAACACAGGCTAAACCCCAAAGGCAAAACCTGGGGGTAATTCCCACTTCAGCTCCAGGAGAACAAGGTGGCAAAGGCCAAAGTGCAGTGACCGGGCTGCACATCCTGCCAGCCTCAGAGATCTGCAGGTGGAGCAGAGCTCGGGAGCCTGGGGCTGCAAACTGCTCCAGAGGGGTTCAGTGGGGCAGCAAACAGAGCCCTCTCCTGGAAAACCAAAGGAGCTTCCCTGCTTTTCTGAGCACAGAATTTACAGTTCTAGTTTTATCTATATTTATATTTAAAAATTATAATTACATTTAATAATTATATTTAATAATTATACTTTATATTTATATTTTTATTTTTATTTATATTTACAATAACAGAATATCTCACAGCTCTTGCTCCATGTTTTCCTGCAGGCTGATATTTTTTGGAGGCTATGGCTATTTTCCTGAAGGGAAGCAACGTGGAACATTTGAATTTGATGAAACTTCTTTTTGGGTAAGTAACCCTGGAAGCCATTTCTGCTTCAACTTTTAATATTTCACCGGTGCTTGTTAAAACTTGTTGCTTCTTTGTGTTGTTGGTTTTGGTTTTTTTTTAAGAATTCAGGCCTTCCTAGAGGATGGAACGACCACGTGCACGTTCTGGACCTTGAAACTTTCACTTGGAGCCAGCCCATAACTACGGTAATTAATGCTTTGCTGTCATTTAATTAAGTCACAGCTCAGTAATGGTATTTAGGAGTGTTCATTTAGACAGTGGATCTGTCTAAATGAATTTAAAGCATTCATTTAGACAGATCCACTCTGCAAAAAGAGGAAATTTTGATTTGTTTTATTTTGATTTGTCTTCATGCATTTTTTCCTGTTGCTGCTTTGGGTGCTGCTGCAGCTGCAGGGCAGTGGGGTTTGCTGTCACCCTCAGTGCCAGGGCATGCCTGGTTCCTGTCCCTGGGGGGCTGAGTGTGCTCAGGAGACAATTAAACACTGCTAATTGCAAATACACACATTTGGAGTGTGCAGGAACAGGGAAATGGGCTGGGGTTGCCACAGGGTTGGGGGAAGTGAAATGTGAGACCAGGAGCTCCAGATTGCCAAAGAATTGCTCTGATTGCTCCATTCAGGTCTCATTGGTTCAGAAACCCAAGGAAAATGGAAATGGTGTTTAATGGGATCCCAGGGTGGTTTGGGTGGGAAGGAACCTTAAAACTCATCCAGTGCCACCCCTGCCATGGGCAGAGACACCTTCCTCCATCCCAGGTTGCTCCAGACTGTCCAACCTAGCCTTGGACACTTCCATGGTTTATGAATTTAAGGATTTATTATGTCACTGTCTCATTTACAGTTTGTCTTCTGTGGCTGAACCCTGTGCTAAAAGCAAAATTTATAAACCCCATTTTTAATGAGTTCCCTGGCCTTCCATCCATCAAAACCTGCACACAGGGGGATTTACAGGCTGTGTTTTGTCACTCTGATCCTCGCTGGCCTTCACTCTGAGTTGAGCCTGGTCTCTCTTGTCCTCTGGTGCCTGATCTGTGCTGTCCCTGTCCCCTCCCAGGGCAAGACCCCCTCGCCCCGCGCCGCCCACGCCTGCGCCACGGTTGGGAACAGGGGCTACGTGTTCGGAGGCAGATACAGGGTAAGGCCAGGCTGCCCCAGCTGTGCTGAGCCCAGAGCTGAGCAGGGCCTGAGGTGTGAGCCACGCTCTGCTCTCTTGCAGGAGTCCAGAATGAACGACTTCTACTGCCTGAACCTGGACACGTGGGAGTGGAACGAAATGTGGGTGCTCAGACTCGATTTCCTCTTGTGACTGAAGAAATTCCTGTGGTCCTTGGGTCACTGCAGTATCCTGCAGATAGCTGAGAAATGATCAGGAAACAGAGAGGGATTTTGCTGTCCCTGTGGTGATTTGGGTGTTTTTCTTGCAATGCAGACTCACCCAAGGCGTCTGCCCCGTGGGCCGATCGTGGCATTCCTTAACGCCAATTTCCTCGGATCACCTCTTCCTCTTTGGAGGCTTCACCACGAACAAGCAGCCCCTGAGTAAGTCATTCCAGAGGGATTTGGTGGTGGCTTTTTGTGCTCTGGAGCAGCTCTGCACAGGAGCTTTCATGACTGCCTTGAATTCCTTCTAAATTCCTCCAACTCCTCGTTCCACAGAGCAGGAGCTGCTGAGGGTGTGGAGACACCACAACTTGCAGCAACTGATCTGCTCTAAAATTGTATCTAAAAGTGCAAACTGCAATTGGTGACAGCTTTACAATTCTCCACCTTCACCCCCATAAATCTCTGTTACATTGAACACCTGTTGACGAACAGGAGCCAATGTTTTATAAGGTTTTTCCTAAAATATTTGATTTATCTAAGGACAGAAATGGGATGTGCTACACCAGAGTATTTGTATATTGCAGCAACTTCACAGAACTGACAGAATCCTGATTTTATCTGGGGTTTTCAGGTGATGCCTGGATTTACTGCATCAGCAAGAACGAGTGGGTGCAGTTTGAGCATAACTACTCTGAGAAGCCAAGGTATGGCAGACAATTCCCTGGAAACGGGGACAGAGGGGCTGTGGAAGCACCTGGTGGTGGCCAGAGAGAGGAGCCTGGTTCCTCCTCCCTGCTCTCCTTTCACATGCCCCAGAGTGCAGTGGGTGTGTGCCCCCAGAATTCCAGGGCAGACAGCCTGGGAAACAGCAGGAAGCACAGAATTGAGGGTTTGACCCTGGGATTTGGGGTTTGACCCTGGGATTTGGGGTTTGACCCTGGGATTTGGGGTTTGACCTTGGGATTTGGGGTTTGACCTCGGGATTTAGGGTTTGATCTCAGGATTTAGGGTTTGATCTCAGGATTTAGGGTTTGATTTCAGGGTTTAGGGTTTGATCTCAGGGTTTAGGGTTTGATCTGGCTGCAGAGGACTCCGAGCTGTGAGTGCCAGCAGCAGAGCTGACTGGAGCCCGTGTCCTTGCTCTGCCACCCCCCAGGCAGGGGCTGGTGTCCCCAAGGCCCTGCCCGAGGCTCATCCTGTGCACACCCAGGGCTGTTCTTGGCTTCCTGCTGAGGAAACAGGGGTTGGTGACCTGCAGTTTAAAGCCCCTGTGATGCACTCATGGGGAACACGAGTCTTCCTCCCTGTGCTCAGGGAAGTGCCCTGAGCCAGGTTAAGCAGTTAAAGCTCTGCTGCTTCCTGGTTTTCTCCTCTGGGCTGGCTGGGATGAGGAGGGACCTCCCCAGCGCTGGGGTTTGGGTTAATGCAGGGCTGCTCTCTGTTCCCAGGCTGTGGCACACGGCCTGTGCCAGCGAGGAGGGCGAGGTCATCATCTTTGGGGGCTGTGCCAACAACCTGCTGGCCCATTCCAAAGCTGTGAGTTGGTTTTGAGCTTCCCCTTCCCGTGGGATCTGCAGTGCTGGTCTCGTGGGGATCACAAAGGTGCAGGGACAAAGCCTGAGGGGGAAATGCTTTGCTCCTGCCCCAAGTCCCTCAAGGCTGGGAACCCTGAAGGCTTCCTCCAGTGTCCCTGCCCAGGGCAGGCTGGAATGGGTTGAGCTTTGAGCTCCTTCCAGCCCAACATTCTGGGGTTCCCTGGCTGTGTTCCCTGGGCTGCTCTGGCTCCTGATGGGATCCCACAGAACCAATTTTCTATCTCTGTCCTCCTTCAGGCTCACAGTAATGAAATCCTGGTATTCTCCCTCCAGCCAAGATCTCTTGTAAGGTAAGAGAGCAGGAGTTCAGCATGGAACTGTCTGTCCCAGCTTAGCTGGCAGGGGGACATTCCTGGGAGGGTGGGGAATGGCTGGGGCTGCCCCTGGATCCCTAGAAGTGCCCAAGGCCAGGTTGGACAGGCCTTGGAGCACTGGGATGATGAGAGGTGTCCCTACCCATAGAAAAAGGGTGGAATGGGATGGGATTTAAGGTCCTTCCAACCCAAACCATTTTGGGATTCTAAGACAAATGAGGCAGAGTTACCATTAGACCTGTTCGTGTTCCTAAAATACTGGAAACCATTTCTGCCTCCAAATGCTGCCAGAGCAGCAGCCAGGGCTGAGCATGGAGCATTCCCCTCCCTCAGCACCTCTGGCATGAGCTGCCAGTGCAGCCTGTCCCTGCTGACAGAGCCCCATGATCCCAGTGCAGCCTGTCCCTGCTGACAGGGCCCTGTGTGTGTGGGGGCTCCCAGTGCAGCCTGTCCCTGCTGACAGAGCCCCATGATCCCAGTGCAGCCTGTCCCTGCTGACAGGGCCCTGTGTGTGTTGGGATTCCCAGTGCAGCCTGTCCCTGCTGACAGGGCCCTGTGTGTGTTGGGATTCCCAGTGCAGCCTGAGCCCTGTGTGTGTGGGGGCTCCCAGTGCAGCCTGTCCCTGCTGACAGAGCCCCATGATCCCAGTGCAGCCTGTCCCTGCTGACAGGGCCCTGTGTGTGTTGGGGCTCCCAGTGCAGCCTGTCCCTGCTGACAGGGCCCTGTGTGTGTTGGGGCTCCCAGTGCAGCCTGTCCCTGTGTTGCAGGCTGTGCCTGGAGGCCGTCATTTGCTTCAAGGAGCTGTTGGCCAGCTCGTGGCACTGCCTGCCCAAGCACCTGCTGCACAGCGTGAACCAGCGCTTCGGCAGCAACAACACCTCGGGCTCCTGAGCCCCGGGGCACGGCCCGTGCCCCACCCTCTGTGTGTAGGTAGTTGCTTCTCGCCCTCCCGTGCATGTGAATGGCCTAGAGAGAACCTATTTTTGTGTGAGATGTTCCAATAAATGTGTTTGATGCCAGAGGAGATGAGCCTGAGCTTCAGCTGTGAGCAGGTGTGGGGTTGTGCACCCCGAGAGCGGGGGAATGTCCTTGGGGGCAGAGCTGGGAATGCTGAGCACACCACGGCTCTGAGTGTTGCTTTGGTGGTGTTTAGCCCACAGCTCCACGTTTTGCCACAGATGTTTCAGGTCAGAGAAGCAGGATGTGGAAGTTAGGAGCAGGATCTGGAAGTTGTCCCGTTGTCAGTTGATAAACTGTTGTAAACCTAGAGATGTTAAAGCACCACTACTCTCTGCTTGGCTGTAGTTTGGTTTTGGTTTTTTGGTTTTTTTTTTTTTAATTTTTATGTTGTGGAACTTCAGTTGTGAACCTTAGGTAGCAGATATTCTGCCCTGTGAGTGTAACTGGGAGTGTTTGTGCCTGTTGCCAGCCCTGTGGAGCTCCCCTGCCCCTGGAGCAGCCCCAGGGATGTCCCCTGGCTGCAGGGACATGGAGAGGGGACACGGGGGACAGGGCCAGGCTGTGCTGCTGTGGGGAAGGGGGGGAATCATGTTTTAAGCTGTCTTCAAAAACTAATTAAAAACGTTGACTTGTAGAACAATTCCTGTGCTGTAATTCCTGAGAGATCCCGGGGGTTTTTCCTGACTCCCAGCCCTGCTCTTCCTCCCCTCCACAGGGTTCTGGCACAGCTGGGCTGGGGGAAACTGGGCCTGCACCTTCCCTCTCTCCACAGCCAGGGAATGTCTGGGGGGAGACAACTCCCCCTTCCCAAAGGAAGCTTTCTCCACTGGCACAGCCCTCCTGGAGGCTCTGGAACTGAACCTCCTGGAACTCCAGAGCCTTGGCCCAGCAGTGGGGAACGAGTGCTTGAACAGAGAAGCAGCAGCAGGGGAGGACATTCCTGACCAAATGCCAGCAATTTAATTCCACATTTATCTGCAATTTGTATCAGAGTCCAGCTAAACCACCAGGAATCTCTGGGTGCAGGGATTCAGTCCTGGTTGTGGGTCTGTGTCCGTCTGTCCCAGCCCCTAGTCCGGTCTGGGGCCAGAGACCCCGGCATGAAATCACTTCCTCTTCATGTTCTGGAGGTGAGGTGCAGACACTTTCACCTTCCCAGGAATATTTCGGGACAGATCAGTGTCCTAGGGAACATGGCAGAGGAGAAGGTGACCAGAGCAGCAAAGCCTTTCTGGAGCACTGGGATCATCCTGTCCTTGGCCCTGGTGAGCACCAGGACAGCTCCAGCCTCAACTCCCCGTGCCAGCTCCTGCCCCTGCTCCAGGCATTCCCACTCCCAAACCCCGAGGGTTCCTTGGGAGACGCTGCTGTTGTCAGACAGTGACAATGCACAAACAAGGCCCAGGGCTCCCACTGAGGCTCAGGTTCTCATGGTCCCTCCCAGCCTGGCCAGCAGAGCTGGGCAGTGTCCAAGGCCAGCCTGGATGGGGCTTGGAGCAGCCTGGGATAGTGGGAAATGTCCCTGCCCATGGATTTTTAAGATCCTTTCCACCCCAAACCACTGCAGGACTCTCTGCCCTTCCCCAGGAGCACAGACAAACTCCACTGCTAACAAACCCAGCAGCAGCCTCAGTCTGGCAGCATTTCCTCCCACAATGGCACCTGGGACCCTGCAGGCCAGGCTCACCTTGACGCTGCGGAACAGATCCTTCTCTCGGGCACTGGCCTCCTTGGACTGCATGAAATTGTGCAAGGCAATCTTGGCAGCTGGAAAAAGCCAGGGAAGAGTGAAAGGGCCTGGAAAGCACCCAGGCTGCAGCAGGCAGAGCACAGCAGGGGGCTCGGGGCTCACACCCTACCTTTGCCCTTCTTCTGGGTGCCCGGAGTGAGCTTGACTTTATACCTGCCCAAAGGAAAGGGCTCTGTCAGTGAAACAAAAGCCCAGCACCTGCCCTCCCAGGAAGGGGCTGCCACTCACTTGTAGTTGGTCATGGCTGTGTAGGGAGCACAGATGGGGACAGCAAAGAGCAGGATGTCCTCGGGATGGGGCTGGCCTGTCAGGGAGTCCAGCAGGGCCTCGCTCTCCTGGGACACACAGAGCTGCACTGGGCCTGTGCTCAGCCCTGCTGGAGCCACAGGGGCTGGGGACAGGCAGCCTCCAAGGGCCCTTCCAACCAAAGCATTCCAGGGTTCCATGAGCATGGAACTGCCATGGGATGCCCAAGCCAGGGCTTGTGACTGATCCTGTTTCATCACTAAAATCACATCCTTGGCTGGATCTTGGTTTTGGGCCAAGGGTCACCCAAAGCTCCCCCAGCAGACACCCTTATCCTCCTCCATGGAGGAATTTAAAGGAATTCACTTATTCCCAGCCCTGGGCAACACCCACAGCCTGTAATTACACAAAAGTAATTACAGAAAAGTTTGAAGCAATTTGATATGTAAATAAACTTCAAACTAAAGAAGAACCTGCACTGCTCACTGTGTCATCCTCCAGCCCAGAGCCACCAAGGCAAAAACCAAGGGCAAACATCCTTGGAGCCAGCTCTGGGTTTATGGAGGATGTGGAGATGAGCAGAGCAGGCATGGAGGTTAATTTTAATGAGATTAATTTTTAAAATACAATTAAGGTGGGTTTAAACAGTCCTGGAGGGGTCCCCCATGTCCCAGTCCCAGCAGGAGCACAGCCCCACCTCAGCCCTTACAGAACTGAGCTTTACCTCCAGTCCTGGCTGCTCCTGGTCCTGCTCCTCCTGCACACACAAACAGAGGACACATCAGGCCTGCAGAAACCAGAGCTGCTCCTGCCTCCCCTGGCCCCGAGAAACTCCCTAAGGAGCAGCCTCAGAAAGCCCCATTGTCCCTGCACAGAGAACCGAGCTGGTTTCACAACCCAGGTGAGAGCAGCGCTGCCGTGGGTGGGAGGGTGGAGGTTTCTTCCCAACCTCTCATTTGCCTGGCACACGCCGAGCTGGGAGGAGGAGATGGGGCTGAGATAGCGAATCCCAGCAGCAGGGCTGGGAGCGGGGCACGCCCGGTGAGGGGGAGGTGCTGGGTGAACCCGAGCCTCGGGACTGCTCCGAGCCCCAGTTGTGCCTGTGCTGGCAACAGGACGAGCACAGGGATGGCTGCAGGGCTCTGGGCTGCTCTGGGAATTCAGTGGGATCCTGAGCCCTGGCAGCAGACACAGAGCTCTCTCTCCACTGTGCCCAGGATCCAAGGGCAGCTGCTCAGCCTCCCGGGCAGGAGAGCTACACAGAGCCAGGACAGACACATGGGAGAGCTGCTCACCTTCCCCTGCTGCTGCTCACCCTCCCATCCCACTGCTCACCTTGTCCTCCTGCAGCTCCTCCAGGGCTGGCTCCTGTGCCTCGTGCAGCACAATTCCTGCTGGCAGGGTCTCCTTGCCCCCTCCTGCTGCACGACGCTGGGGTTTGGGTTTCTGCTGTTGCTTCTTTGCCGCCTCTTCTTTTGTCTTCCCCTTCTTCCCTTTTTTCCCTTTGTCCTCCCTGTTGGAGCCTGCAGACTGTGGTGGCACAGGTGGTCAGGGCTGGTGAGCAGAGCCCCCAGACCCCGGGCAGGGCACAGCTCCCTCCTCACCCCCAGCAGCTTCATGATGAGCTCCCTGTCCTCCTCGTCCTGGTCCCTGTACTTCTCCTTCATCTTCTTCATTTTACTCTGCAGGAGGAAACACCAACACCTTCAGAAATGACAACTCTTAGCAGAGTGTTTGCAACCACAGATGCTCCTCCCTTCCCAGTATCCCAGCCTTTCAGAGCAGGTCACCAGTAAGCAAGGCACTGGTTCTAACTGTGCTAACCCCCAGCACCATCATCTGAGACTGCCCAAAGCACCACAAGGCAGCCATGGGTGTCTGGGACATCTGGCATTGCTGTCCCCGTTTCCATGGCCCCTGTCCCTGCCCACCTTCTGGCCCCTCTTGATGGGCTGAGGGGCTGGAGCTGCCTTGGGAGCAGCCACAGGTTGGGTCTCTGGCTCTGCCTCCTTCTGCTTCTCCTCAGACAGCTCCGAGTTCTCAGAGTTGTTCTGCTGCTTCTTTTTCTTCATTTCCCTAAGGAGAACAATCCCAGCACCCCCATTTGTGGTGATGAGAGAGGCTGCTGCTCTCCTGACAGCATTCCCAGGACCCAGAGCAACACTGGACACAGCCCCTGCTCAGAAAAACCTCCCCAGCCCAGCATTCCCAAAGGCCAGGAGCAGCACCTGCCCTGGAAATGCAGGATGGACAATGGGCAGGAACTGGGTACAGATGTGCCCAGGACATGGGGAGGGAATGAGGAAGAAGCATCTACCCAGAGCAGCTGTGGCTGCCCCAGGGCTGGGCTGGACAGGGCTTGGAGCAGCCTGGGATGGTGGAAGCGTCCCTGTTCATGGCAGGGGTGGAATGGGATGGGATTTAAGGTCCCTTCCAACCCAAACCATGCTGGGATTCCCTGGAACAGCCACTGGCTCTCACCTCCTCTCCTTGGCAGAGAGATGCCTCCGGCCCTGGGCCCTGCTGTCACCCTGAGGAGGCAAAGGCAGTTCAGGGCAGATCCTGCCCACAGCTCCCACTGCTCTGGGCCACCCACGGCAGCTGGGACCTTACCAAGCTGGGCTCCTCCTCTTTGGGGATGATTTTCTGCAGGGATCTGTGGGGAGATGCAAAAGGAGCTCACCATGGACACACCAACCGCTTCAGCAGCCTGGCTCTACCTTTCAGCTTTCAGAGCTTGGCAATCCCAGCTTTGCTGACTGGAAAAGGCAGGAACCCTGGGATTCACTTTAGAAAACAATCTTAGCCCTCTGCCAGCTCCTCTCTCACACACACAAGCACCAAACACAGCCTGGGCACTGAGGGAGCCCCAGTGTGCAGCTTCCCATGAGCCTCACCCAATCCCTGCTCCCTGCACCCTGCAAGGAGTCCCAGGCACTGCAGGGAGCTGAGCTCATCCCACAGCCTGAGCAGAGCAGAGGCAGCTCAGGGCTCAGCTGCTCAGCATTGCCACTGCTGAGCATGGAAGGAAGGGAGGGATGGCAACACATCCCAGCCTTGTCCTGGCAGTGTTTTAGGAGACCCTCAGGTGCCCCAGCTGCTGCTTCTCTCACCTCTGGGGCTGAAGGTGTGACAGGTCGATTGTGGTGTCTGGATAATTCACCTCCTCCTCCTTCACTTCCCCCTTGGGCTCAGGATGCTCCTCCTCAGAGTCTCCATCGTCCTCCTCGGAGTCAGCCTCTGGAGCAGGAGTGTTCCCTCCTCCCTGCTCACCCTGGGTGCTCTCAGCTGTGGCTTCCACATCCTCTGCAGCTTCCTCACCTTCTGCAGCTTCCACATCCTCTGCAGCTTCCTCACCTTCTGCAGCTTCCACATCCTCTGCAGCTTCCTCAGCCTCTGGAGCTGCCTCAGCTTTTTCCTCCTCACTGCTGCTGTCTCCTCCATCTGGGGCCCCCAGGGCAGGGAAACACAGGAACACCAAACTGATCCATCATCCCAGGATGGTTTGGGTTGGAAGGGACATCAAAGCCCATCCAGTGCCACCCACACCTTCCACTACTCCAGGCTGCTCCAAGCCCTGTCCAGCCTGGCCTTGGGCACTGCCAGGGATCCAGGGGCAGCCCCAGCTGCTCTGGGCACCTGTG